TAAATGAAAACACAAAATTACTGGTTAGAAGTTGATACAGGCAAAATAGTGATGTTCAAGTACTAAACCTCTGGACCATTGCATTCGCATTGTCCAGGTCAGGTCCAGAACGCGAATAATGGATTATGTAGAGAATCAGCTTTCATGGTTTGAGACCTAGGCCTACCGAAAAGATGGGGAAAAAAGAAATAAAATATAGAAATATAAAAATAAAAGAGAAAAAATGGTTTTCTTACTTTACATAACATAAAAGTAAAAATCGTAATTTAACATTTGCAGGCTTGAGCAATAAAACGATAGAATATGGTATTAGAGCAAATTGATAGCTTAGTGTAACTTTCGGATCACTTTTATTTCACTGACATCTGATCCTCATAAGCTAAACAAACAGTGATCATGGTTCCATCAAGCGCTGCCATTTCGCCATTTCGAGTTTATCCGGTACTTGTGTTTTCTGGCGGTTCCCGGGAAACGGGCAGTAGGAACGGTTTTGTGCAATCGATCCGCCGCACGCGGCTGTCGCGGACCATTTGTCTCATTATAACTGTTCTAGCGTTCTTCAAACAGCTCAATCGCTATGCGATTATTACTTTTAGCATGATTCTACTGTTAGTTCTTTTGTTACTAAATTTCTTACTTACTGCTGCATTCTGCTATGTTCCTTCAAGTGCGGCGTTTCTCTCGCCGCGACGCGACAATTTCGTTCCCACTGCACCACACCCGCGGTTCCCAGCTTTGGGAATTGCAAAGGAATCTTTTGGTCAGGTCCCATCATCTCACGGATTTCTGCTCGAGTGCTAAAGGCTGACCGAGTACGGTTGGAAGATCGTGAAACAAAATGTATTCAAGTACTGGCGTGCCGTATAACAGGGGTAAATGAACCCTCGAATTCTGATTTATAATAATATAGAACTCTATGAAACGTCATTCCCCGAAACAATGTTTGAATAATAGAGATAGGAAAATTATCATAGGTATCAGCTGAGTCAATAGAGAAGCATGCAGTACAGTAGTTACTGTAACACTACCATACAATACCAGAACACCATAAAATTATTCATGGAAGGCTCGTAAACGTTTTTGACGACGCAGGCAGTTTACTGTAACTTTACTTCTATGTAGAGGCAACACAATAGAGAAATAATCAAATTGAATAATCCTAGGTAACAGGGTGTTGTACTTTGTAATTGGATTGATCTCAGCAGAAATCATCATAAGTGAGTGCTGAAACAGGGACTATATGATTTTTTTCAACTTAGTTTCCCTTTCTACACTTTCACCTTCAGCTATACCATTTTTGCTACCGAACTTTCCTGGGAAGTTTGCTAATCAGTGGGCGCCTGTAAAGACTATTTCAGCTTTCCTTGTAGAGCACCAATCCAGTGCTTAGGCTATGTTACCAGACAAAGAACTGGCCACCCATGTCCTCCCGAATGATTACCCCCATCAAAAGTGGCTGCAGATGACGCAGCGGAAGTACTGCTCTCGAAAGTAATAGATAACATGCCCTGTGTCTGCCACTGCTTATCAGTAGTTAATCGATAATTTCTATTAAGTCATTGAAACAGTAGCCAATCATTTGGTAATACCAGCGGACTCTCTGTCGTCAACATTCATCAATTTGACATGGCGACGTCAGACCGCGACGAAAACGATCTATGGCCATTTTCTGATGGAGCAAGGAGACTCCCCGCCAGGATGTTCTATCAATCGACGTCCACATGGCCAAGCCTTATCCATCTCTTCATGCTTTCTGAAACTACTAGATGAAATCTTGGGGTAGTTAATTTACTGGTTTCTTAAGCAAAAAATGGAGAAAATCAAATGAGAGCCTTAGATTCCAGTGGCCGAGAAGAGGATGACTTTCTCAGAAACATTTGCATTAGGAAATTATTGAGTTTTGAACGAGCTGTGTCTGGGTCTTGTAAAGTTTTCCCTATGAAATGTAAAATATTCTTCTGATAATAAGGTCCTTATAAACACCATATAACCAGGCAGCCCCTTGGACACCACAGGACTTGGAAAGTCACTGCTGAACTGAGATAACGGAAGGATGAAAAGGGCAAGTCGAGTTCCTAGAGAGATCAAAAAAATCATAAAAATAAACAGCAAATAGACACGGAAAGTTTATTCCCAGGAAAGGCGATCGTATATTTTTTGATTATTTCATTGCTACGGACTTCTTGTGGCTCAACAGATCAAAAAAAAAACACAAAAAATCTATTTATTTCTTTCATTTATTCAGCACGCTAAAAGAGACAATGTGAGAAAAATAAGTCATGAATACTTTTTATGCTCAGGCCGTGCTTACTAACTTTCACAGTTGGCAGGATATCGTCCTGAATGTAAACACGGGAGACAGATGTGCAAGCATTACATTTGAATTAATCGTTTGTTCGGCCTTTTGAACCCTGACAGATCAGGTGATTTATGCTGCTAATCCATTTAGTAAGTAATTAGTAATTGATATAATCGCTTATACTGCATTATCGTGGACGAATTTCAAATATCATTAATCGCTATCGGTGAAATCCCTCAAATATAGCAACTCGGACTCCGATGCACGTGAGAACCACTCAAAGCCAGCACCCAGTAGCACGTGAGCTCATGCAAAAGCCCATGAAAATGATCTGCAGAATCCGTTGTACTTTCTTCAATTTTTCATTGAATCTGTAGGAAAAGAGAGCGAAAGCGAACCAGCGTAGCTGGACGAGTCGTCTCAGACTTACAACCAAGCCTTATGCTGGGTATTGAAGCTTTTCGCCCGATTCAGATAACTGGAATCATACTTGCATGAATGATCAAAGAAGGCCCTACGGAACATTTATTGAGCTCAGTAGGTCTTCATCGGGGAAAGTGCACCAGCAAAACCTCCATAATAAAGATGAGGAACGGCAAAAACGGTAATATACTGAAACGTGTAATAAATTTCTGCCGCCTTATCTTTCGATTACCGAAAAGCGATGATTTATGACACTCCCCATGGAATAGCTCTGGCCATTAGATTTCACCCTTTCGGTGCTTTTCAAGAACACCCGTCTACATATCTTCGCGATCGATCAATAACCATATTGTGTACATTGAACTTGATGAATACTTCTGCACACTATAAAACTACTTTTCAATCCATTTTTATCAAATATCGTTCTGAATGTTCAAATACAATCTGAATGTGAACTTAAACATTGCTCATAAGCACTCCTACATGAAACAACTCTACCGTACAAATCTACCATTTAAAAAAAGAAAAAAGGTTACGCGCCCGAACAATTCATGACAAAGGAATACGACGCACAAGGAATGGGGGGAAACGATGCGATGTGTTTGTTGTGTATGTATGTTGTTTGTGTTTACTTGTAAATTTCTTCATAAATATCACGATGTATGTATGTTTATGTTTTCTATTAACCTAGTAATCCCTACTATGTCTATCGCCCTCTCTCTCTGTTCATGTACATATTCATGTGTGTATTTGTGTGTGCATGTATATGTGTGTATGTATGTAGGCGCATGTGTGTCTATGTGGGAAAAAAAGTCGGACGCCAACCCTTTAACATAACAATATATCGGAATTATCAAAATATATATAAACTCGAACAACATACCATAATCTGATCACAAGTTACGATTAGAGAAAATCTCTACATTGCGTGAATATTTTGTGTATACGTAGGTGTGTCTGTGAATATATGAGTATATATACTGTCTGTCGCCTATCGAGAAATGTGAATGTGTTTGTATGAATGTGTGTAGTAATCTTACTTGCATGTATGTATGTGTGTGTGTGTGCGGTAATTTTTCAATCAGACAGACACATCACCATATGACCACATCCGAAATCAAACAAAGTAGAAATATATCGAACACCCTACACAAAACAAGTCCTATTCTTACTTGCAAATGCAGTGTAATCGAGGACCCGACGAATGCGAGCCGGAAGTCAAAGGCGACGATTGTGCGGAACCATCCGCCGCGCGCGAACGACCACAACCCATCAAGTGCGGCGCGGCATCGCACGCGACATAGCGGGCGGCGACAGCGACAACACTTGCCAGTAGTGTGAGTATCATCTACGCGCATTCAGGCCGCATCATAACTAGACTTTCTACTTAACGCATAAGAACGTATACAAAAAAATCTTTTCATACAAATGGGAAGATACAGACGGGGTAGGGCAAAAACGGGGGATAGTGTGTGTGTTCCGGGTCTGTACGGGAGGAGGAAAACGAACACGAGTATGATGAGGGGGAATATATGGGAGGAAGATCAAGGGACACACAAAAATCATCATCATATATGGTGGGAACGGGAGAAAGGATGGTCGATCAATAAAACTACTAAACAAGTGAGCATAAAGGGGAGCGGTAGAACGCAGACCCCACGTGAAGCGATGAGGTTTAGAAAACTGGTGACGGTTTGTAAACAAGTAAAACGAAGGAAGACATCATCGGACCGGGACTAAACACATATAGTACGCCATCTCTGAGTAGTCAGTATGAATCTAACACTAACATTTTCTACAAATTTACTGGCATCTATGCCGAATCGAAGCTGACACGAAATACGTAGTGAGTGATCAACAGGGCAGAGACAGAAGGAGAGAGAGCGCGCATGAGAAGGGAGAATTTTCTGGGAACGAGACAAAGAAGCCCCAATACAGCTGGACGACGTCGTCTCGTGTTCGACGATGAAGTTGATCGAAACGATGTCATCATCATCATCGTCGCGTCACACAGTTAAAATCACTACGATTACCGTATCAACAACTATATCCAGTGTCAAGGTTATGTGAAGCAGCCAACATAAATTTCGTCAACGGGGATTGGGATATACATATATAAAATATATTAGTAGATATTTCGTATAGGTTATGACGGGATCAACGCGAAAGAGATTTGAAGACGAACGAACATACGAAAGAACGTGTGAATCGTAGTCGTAGGCGTCGTAGGTGAACCTATGAATGTGTTTTGATTGCACCCTTGCGCTTACGTTATGGATCACAACGCTTCCGGTTTCGTCTCGACGACTTTGTCTTCAAGGAACAGCTCAAAATGTACGAGACCAAGTCGTGACGTGATATCGTGCTCAATATTCAGAGCATACGCACGACATTCGACGAGCACCAGTTTGTTACGTGGCAGCGATTCAAACTTCACCATAGCCTGGAATGTAGATATTTCACGAAGGGCAGCCACTTCAGTCACTACATTATATGAGAAGGCAGAACTATTCAATACCACGGGTCTGGTGGTATCTTCTCCCCGACCGGCGTGTCGCGCTCGCCGCACGCGATCGCGCGTTATGACGGGAAAGATTTGAATTCTCATTGGAAGGAGTCGCCGCGGAACCGCTGCCGCAGGCCGTGGAAATGCGGGGAGAAGTTCGTTACCCTCACACTCTTCCATGGCCCTCCCCCTCCCATGGTCTCCAATGTTATAGCCGCGAATATTGGGTACTTTTACTTCCTTAAAGGTAGTAGTGCTATGTAGCATTGTTCTAGATCCTCTTTCGACAAGTTTTGAATGCTCACCACTGACTAACGGTTACATCTTTGACCGGACTACTCCAGCTGCTTCTAAGTCCCCATGCAGCTGCCGTAGCCCCCACTTAAGAATTGTTAAACCTAAGATGCCTCTCCATATAATCCTCACGCCTGGCTTTTACCACCTTTCTTACGCGAACTTTGGAAAATCAAGTCAAAACCATTTCGCAGAAAGAAATGAGCATTACAAGGGACCCATCGATCATTGTGTGGACCAGTCTCCAGCACTAACAAGCTTATTGCTTATCAAATGTGATTAATATTATCCTGTTCAGTCGTTTCTATCGCGTGACGACTACAGAAGCAAGTAAAAACCGTCTAAATTGTCTGATAAATATTTTATGTCCTATGATAAGGAGATTACTCTTCCTCTGGATGACACTGTTATAGCCCCGCATTCATCCAACAAATCCTTACTTTTCCAAGTAATAATTTGTCTCTACTCAACAATCCCTGGTTGGAAGTACTGTTTACTAATCAATAGATCAACTCCTCCCACCAATCACAGAAAAGGAGCCAAACTACCACATTCAATTCCGAGCTGACAGCATTGCTCCCCCAAACCACTGGTCCAAATATTGCTCTGAGGGAATTGACAAGCTTTAACTCCCCTCGAGTCGCATTTTTCGCATCCAGTCGAACCCTGCACAACAAGTGAATGGGGACCATATGTATTCCAAGAAAGCCTGCGGGGTATTAACGGGTGCTTTCCCCTACCTGAGCGCCACCTTCCTGAGGGAAGTGTGCATCAAGCTCACATTATTAGAAGTGTTCATTGCTAAGAGCATTTTTGCAGCAACATGCGAGAATCACATGCAAGGCTAATAATGCCCCGTCGTGTTGCCTTCTATCGCATGAATGCATGAAATTCCTCAACTCACTCTCCGTCAATAACCAGGGGGGATTGGAGGAAATTTGCGCTAGAGACCTTTCATGGGCTGGCTGCCTCCCTTTCGCATAGTAGTCAGCTCGAACTCATAAGAATTGTCGCTGATTAAAAACGCAAAAATCAAATCGAGAATAATTCAAGTAGGAAAAACTCCTCGCTACTGATAACTCACAATTGGTTGATGGTAATTGGGCACGTAGACGTAGGGATAATATCTTCCATCAATACCATACTCTGGAATGTACTTCAGGCGGCCGATATGCTCCTTATCGGGATTATTCTGAAGGCGGTATTTACATCCAAATCGATAAACAATCACACAGCTGTGTTACACATGTACTATACTCACAGCTCCATCACAGTACAACGCAATCGAACCACTTTTATAGCGGCCTTTTACATTTTCTGGCACAGAATCTGGTGCATAATCGACCGGCTGCCATCCGATGAGACGATTTAACGAGAGAACGACACATGGCTGAAAAATATGGGCATTTCCTATTAGTACCCACACATTACATGTGAAATCCATTTGACGCCACAGCATTGGCTTCCCTAAGAGGTCTTGATGGGCTTGCGGCTAAAATCTCTCCAAATTCAACATGTGCCGAGTTCCCTCGAAAACTATCGATCAGCTTTAAGCATGAAGGCTGACTAACGATGTGACGCCCGGGTACGAATGAGTTGGAAGAAGTGAGCATGGAGCAAGGAAATCTGTTATGTGGAGTATAGCTGAAGCTTAAACCCATTCCATGATGGTCTCTCATCATGGGCTTTCAGTAATTTCCTTTCATTTTTTCTTTACTGAAGGAAATTGAAAGCAACCAATACACTTACACTGCCAGCTCTACCGTATCCGTACTGCTTATCTGGACCGCAACCAGCAGCAGTGAAATTTGACAAATCGAAGCGGCATGGCTGAAAAAAAAGCATCTGTATTGCTTTGCACGAAAAAAAAAGTCGATAAAAAGGGGGAAAATCTGTTACCAAGACATCATCTTCTACAAGATTGCTGTTGTTGTCGTTCTCACCACATTCCCTAGTCCCGTTTGTATCGCTATACTTTTTCAGGTAGTCGTCCAACTGAATCACATCAACGACAGGTGAAAAGCGAATTAACCACTTATGAGAAGTAGAAAAACGAATGTGAATGTCGAACGCTTCCTCACCTGTTTCACATACGGCTGCCATGATTTCTCATCTCTCATATTGTATTTTATGAGAGTTGAATCGGGATTTTCTTTCAGCCATGGTTGATACCCGACACCTGCAGAAAACAAAGTGCAGCATTAGAGAGTATGTTTTGGTTAGATTCCCAGAAATTAGAAAAATTCATGCTGTGCTTAGACGAAAATCGTTGTGCACTTGTCAAGTTGTTTCAAGAAAATGCTCTTTGCTTAAGGCTGAACGAAAAACCCCCCAGCAGCTCTACACAAATACTTCGCCGGAATCCACAAGTAAACAGCCCGCAGCAGAGAATCTCTTATGCAATCCCAATCCATAACTCATCAAAAATGTTAAAAAGATAGTCCTGAAGCCGCGTTGATGCACATAATAGCCTCCAAATTGCTCAGCCGGCCGACTTATGTTGATGTCGCCAATGAAGGCAATTCGTCTGATTCAGAAGCTTCAACGACTATGNTGAACGACCACTTCTTGCCACCCATAGGTACCGTGTATCAGTAAATTGCTCTCCTCAGAAATATGTTTCAATTGAGTCGAAGACGCCGAGAAATGCTGTATCTCCCTCTAGCAATACATAAACTTTGACAGCATGTAAACGCTTGCTAACAAAAGTGGGAGTTCCGGGGACAAGGGATGACATTTCAATATTTTCGAATATTTCATAAATATTTACTACTTCAGCTGTCCCGCAGATCAAAGACAATTATGGAGAGTCACCCCGATTGAGCATCTGACTGCAGAGGGCCAGAAATTGAAGGTTTGAATCTCCGGCCACGGAAAGAGCACCTTGTCTTAGTTTCAAATACCATAATTTTGAACTGCAAAGTAGTACAAGGATGTGAAGCCATGGTCGTTAAATGCGTGTGCAATACCCTGTAATTAATCCTTCAATTTTTCCTCGAAATTCAGGCAACGACGTGAAAGCCCATACACAATCTCATGTACGTGATTTATTCCACCGCCTCAGTGGGCCATACTATCTGAGTTTCTCGACCCATCATCACGCAAATCGACCGGAAAAATTGTGTACTGTAGAATTTTCACTCAAACAACCCAGATTTGGCTGTATTGGATCCGCAGGTGTCTGCAGGTGTGCCGCTATGAAGACACATGATAATGGCATCGGCGCAAAAGCGCACACCTCCGCGCTGTATCGGCGGCAACGGGCGCTCTGCTCTGCGCGGGAGGCCATCGTCGTACGTTTGCGCTGCAGCTCAATCTCCGTGAGCAACGGACAAAAACCCAGCTCAACCCGGTCGCGAGAATCGATTCGTGACGTTGACGATGTGCCGACGAAAGGACCGCGACAACCCAATTCAAGTTGAATTCTCGCAGGGCGTTTTCCATTATCAGAACAGTGGGGCTGCGACGACAACGACGACGACGATGACACAGCCAGCAGCAGCAGCAGTAGCAGCGGCATCCTCCTCGCTGGTGGAAGTGCCGCCGTCGAGCGGTGACACACAATTGGCGCGACGCGTCCCGGGGCTTGCATCAAAAGCGCTGCTCACTTCAACTGACGGACGACGTGATTCAAAGCATTGTGTATGTGATGTCAGCACATACACATGCATAACTTATAGGGATGACTGGGAAAAACTCGCTTTGTGTCCAACTAGACTATTCGGGAGGATCGACACGGGAAAATGTGTTGCCAGTGCGACCGATCGAAGTTGAAACGCGCGCGGTTTCAAAGCAATTCGAGAGCTGAGGAGAGCAACAGCGCAAAGTTTACATTCCGCTGAATCGTTTGCAGGGTCACCTCAAGCAGCAGCAGCAATTGCTGCTGTTTTTAATCGTGGACCTTGTCACATATCAGTTTAGTTTACCATCGTTTGACATGACTGCCAAGATTTGGGAACATGGAACGTGGAATTCGAAGAACAATCTGTTCAATCTCCCTGGTCACCCTTTTCATTCCATTATTTAATTCGTCGATCTACAATAGCATGCAATTCTTAACGATCATGATAGGATTATGGGTTTGTGTACAATTACCAGTTAATGGCTTGCATTTATCGATGAGCAAAGCTTCTATCAATAGATCCCCCCTCATTGTGAACGAGAACGCGGCGCATTTCTTTCTCTCTCATTTCATGGGCGCAACCAACCGCGTTTCAACTACAATTTTTGTTTGATTTCCGAGCAGATGCAAATAAAGCGGGTAAAGGAGGATCTACAAGTGCTACCGTAGTGTTTCTGTCTGATGTGGCATAATTCTTCAAGCAAAAGCTTGTCGTCGAAGTAGCAGAAAGAAATGAGGGGGGGGGGGGGGGGGGGGGGGGGGGGGGGGG